TGCACACAGTGACCCGTGTGTGTCCCAACTCACACAGAATCCAACACCATCTCCCTGGACCTTTCATCCCAAGTCTCACAAAATTCAACAACAAGTTCCTCAGGTACGGTACCAAACCTGCTGTTGGAGTATGGCAGGTTTTGGGCAGTTAGGGTTAAACTACTATATTTTAAAATACCATTATACATAACATGTCTCTTTATTTGTTGCGTCAATTTTTAGAACCTACCCATCCACACCTTTGAAGAGTGGCAGTTCACTCAACGATCTGTACTTCAGATGAGGAATAGACTCCCCATAACATTGGTAGCTGATGCTACCTGTGCCTCCTAGCTTGCATAAGGAACTTATGTTGACCCTTCTGGTGGGAGTTCACAACGCATCATGTACCACAACAGTCATCAGCACCCCTCATGCTGTGACATTCCTTCTTGTTGGACAAGGCAAAGGAGGGAGTGTCTCCACTCTTCCTGGAGTACAACACTGTGACCACGCTGACATCACAGATGAATATGTAAGTTATAACAACCTTCTTGTCAGTCCGAGGAGAAGCTGTGCAAGGATGGCGAAATGAAATGTATGTACAGTGTATGCTTGTAACACTCATTGCAGTCCATGTACTCATTGCAAGGTACAGTGTACTGTTGATGTTTAATGAAGCCTGTAGTTTTAAAGTTGTTTTTTTATGCTGGTACTGCCTAATCACAGCAATGTTAGGTTCATGTCCACATCCATGGGTACCTAGCAGCTGATTTGTTTTTTTTTTTTCATTATACATTATAATCATAAAAGAGCCAGGGTTCTGAGACCCTCACCCAGACATTCATTTTAGCACTTCAGTGAAATTTTGATTCAACACTAGATAGAATTTTGTTGTCAGGGTCACTTAGAGTTCACAGCTTTAAAGATATCAGCCTGTGTAAATTGAGCATATCAGTGAAAAAGTTAACAGTTTTGGTAGACTTGTCTTTTGAGCGTTTTACAAGACTTGTCCCATTTTCTAAAAAAAATCAGCATTGTCGCCAGACATTACTAGGAGAACAGCCAAAGGCTCGGCATCGAGATAGTGCACTGTGAAAGTATCAGAGCAAAGGTTGACAAAGGGTTGATTCTAGCTCATTCCCCTGGCTCTTTTAGGTTTTATGCAAAGTGGAAATGTGCTTACCACAATGTGTCAAATTTCAGTTGGAAAAGCACTTTTTGTGAACAGTATTTGAAATGTAGTTTTTAAAGTTTCTTCTTGCATGTGTTCAAACTTACATGTACATGTAAGTGCAAATTTTCTATGTGTCATTTTGAACTGTAAAATCTCCATCTGAAGTTCATTGTCACCACTGCTGGTCACCAAATCAAGTGTTGAGATGGTGATGAGTAACATAGTTGATTATTTCCCTCTTAGATTTTAAGTATGTGGAAATTTGAATTCTTAAGATGATGTTGAACATGGTCTTGTCTGCTCTTTCCTGTATATTTTAATGCATTTAACTCAACATGTTATCCTTTTGGTTAAAAACAGTATTTTCAGCATAATGTCTAGGATTTTCATTCAACAGCTTTCGCAAATAACAGTTTGCATCATGAATGAACACATGAAATTGAAGGTTGCAACTGCGGGCATACATGTAGCAACAGATTTAAGAGAAAAATGTTTCCAGAGTTGAGCGTATGTACAGGTACTCATAAATTTTCAAAGCCATGAAATTTATCATAATGTTCCCAATACATAACATGTTTATGTATACACTTCATCACAAATCTTACTCCAATGTTTAAGCCATTATTTTGGTGGGATTTTTTAAGGGCTCATGCCAAGTCTTCAATTTGGGAACAATTTATTTTAGTTCAGTTATCCATCATTTTTCAAGCTGTTTAGGAATGCTTTATGAGTGGAACCTGTCTACTCTCCTGAATCCTTCCTACACGTACAGTGTACATGTACAATGTATGTTTGTCACTTCTACCAGGATTCAAGTACATGTACATGTGATGTCCTTGCCATCTGCGTAAACCTCATGCTACTCTGTTTACAAGTGAACCTACTTGCAAACCTACATGTACTTGCTGTTTATCAATCTGGCCCCTTAGCTTTCTTTTTACGCATCACCCTTTAAAAATGTTCCTCTGGTGGGTGTGTCCACAGGAGCAGGGGAAGGGGGGTTATTGGCTATCCAGGGGTAGGCCCCAATGTATTGCAATGGCCGGGGGAATTTAGGATGGTCGAGGAGCAGATTGTTGGCCGACAGTGATTCATTTTGGGAGGGTAGTACAAAATAATCAAGGTAGGATGCCACATGTACTGGTATCTCATCCCTTTAGCACTTTGGATGGCTCTCTTTTGTTCTTCCCCATAGCAGTGCTTCTTGGGATTCATCACATAACTTTCTCCCTTTCATCATCTTTCTGACACACTCAACCTCCATCATGGAGGTGTTTTCACAGAGGGCTTTTTGTTTTCTTCCTTGAGTAATTACACTTTTGCTGCAACTGTAAGAATGTAAGTTCAAATGGTAGAATTAATGTTGACAAATAAAGGCACTCCAACAAGAAGAGAAGATACTGGTACATGTACCACATCCAGGTCAATATGGCACACAGGAAACTGGTACCATGTGTACGTACAACTTGAGCTCACCAAACAAGAAGATGACTTTTTTATTCCATATGGACATATAAAGGAACATCTGTTGAAGACATCATCACCAGTAACTTTAATTGGAATCTTGGCAGATGACCCTCTTTTCACTGGACTTGTGTTGGAAAACTTGGTTTCCCATGCAGACATTCATGCAGCTCGAGAAATATTTAGT